ATTGTACCCATATGGGGAATCGAATCCCCCAAAAGCCTTATGAATTAATGAATGCATTTATAATACTTATCATAACAGCGAACTGTCACCTTGTATTTTTTAATTTGATGAAGACAGTGTTTTTCCCATGTGGCAGATGCTGCATTGCGCCATATCTGTAGTGTTTTAAGGGACGTGGTTCAGTACTACATGTCGTGAGTGTACACCTCGTGTTGTCATACATGGCTTAGTACTACGTGTCATGAGCGCACACCTTGTGTTGTCATACATGGTTCAGTACTACATGTCATGAGTGTACACCTCGTGTTGTCATACATGACTTAGTACTACGTGTCATGAGTGTACACCTTGTGTTGCCATACATGGTTCAGTACTATATGTCATGAGCGTACACCCCGTGTTGTCATACATGGTTCAGTACTACATGTCATGAGTGTAGACCTCGTGTTGTCATAAATGGCTTAGTACTACGTGTCATGAGTGTACACCTTGTGTTGTCATACATGGTTCAGTACTATATGTCATGAGCGTACACTCCGTGTTGTCATACATGGTTCAGTACTACATGTCATGAGTGTACACCTCGTGTTGTCATACATGGTTCAGTACTATATGTCATGAGCGTACACCCCGTGTTGTCATACATGGTTCAGTACTATATGTCATGAGCGCACACATTGTGTTGTCATACATGGTTCAGTACTACATGTCATGAGTGTACACCTTGTGTTGTCAAACATGGTTCAGTACTATATGTCATGAGCGTACACCCCGTGTTGTCATACATGGTTCAGTACTACATGTCATGAGCGCACACCTTGTGTTGTCATACATGGTTCAGTACTACATGTCATGAGCGTACACCTCGTGTTGTCATACATGGTTCAGTACTATATGTCATGAGCGCACACCTTGTGTTGTCATACATGGTTCAGTACTACATGTCATGAGTGTACACCTCGTGTTGTCATACATGACTTAGTACTACGTGTCATGAGTGTACACCTCGTGTTGCCATACATGGTTCAGTACTATATGTCATGAGCGTACACCCCGTGTTGTCATACATGGTTCAGTACTACATGTCATGAGTGTAGACCTCGTGTTGTCATAAATGGCTTAGTACTACATGTCATCAGTGTACACTTTGTGTTGTCATAAATGGCTAAGTACTACATGTCATGAGTGTACACCCCGTGTTGTCATACATGATTCAGTACTACATGTCATCAGTGTACACCTTGTGTTGTCATAAATGGCTAAGTACTACATGTCATGAGCGTACACCCCGTGTTGTCATACATGGTTCAGTACTACATGTCATCAGTGTACACCTTGTGTTGTCATAAATGGCTAAGTACTACATGTCATGAGTGTACACCCCGTGTTGTCATACATGGTTCAGTACTACATGTCATGAGTGTTCACCTTGTGTTGTCATACATGGTTCAGTACTACGTGTCATGAGTGTTCACCTTGTGTTGTCATACATGGCTTAGTACTACGTGTCATGAGTGTACACCCCGTGTTGTCATACATGGCTTAGTACTACATGTCATGAGGGTACACCCCGTGTTGTCATACATGGTTCAGTACTACGTGTCATGAGTGTACACCTTGTGTTGTCATAAATGGCTAAGTACTACATGTCATGAGTGTACACCCCGTGTTGTCATACATGGTTCAGTACTATATGTCATGAGTGTACACCCCGTGTTGTCATACATGGCTTAGTACTACGTGTCATGAGTGTTCACCCCGTGTTGTCATACATGGCTTAGTACTACGTGTCATGAGTGTACACCTTGTGTTGTCATAAATGGCTAAGTACTACATGTCATGAGTGTACACCCCGTGTTGTCATACATGGCTTAGTACTATATGTCATGAGTATACACCTCGTGTTGTCATACATGGCTTAGTACTACGTGTCATGAGTGTGCACCTCGTGTTGTCATACATGGTTCAGTACTACATGTCATGAGTGTACACCTCCTGTTGTCATAAATGGCTTAGTACTACATGTCATGAGTGTACACCTCGTGTTGTCATACGTGGCTTAGTACTACATGTCATGAGTGTACACCCCGTGTTGTCATACATGGTTCAGTACTACATGTCATGAGTGTAGACCTCGTGTTGTCATAAATGGCTTAGTACTACATGTCATGAGTGTACAGCTCGTGTAGTCATACATGGTTCAGTACTATATGTCATGAGTGTACACCTTGTGTTGTCATACATGGTTCAGTACTACATGTCATGAGTGTACACCCCGTGTTGTCATACATGGTTCAGTACTACATGTCATGTGTGTACACCTCGTGTTGTCATACACGGCTCAATAAGAATCGACTAACGGGATAGGGTGTTCAGGCTCTCTGATTTGGTAATCGTATCCGATGTGTAGATCGATGCTCCTGCTGTTGTTTGTTCCATTTTCCGATTATTTACAGACGGCCGCCATATAGCATATGAATGTTGAGATGAGTACGGCGTTTAACACCAACCGACCTAACAAAAACAGACATAAAAAATGTCGTGAGTGAACACCTGGTGTTGTGGAACATGACTCTGTAGGGGGATGCATGTAGTGAGGGAGTGGATGAGTCAGGATTGACGCCTTTTAACAATTATTTAAGTTTGATTGCAAATAAGCTCTCAAATTCATCAGCCCATGTTTCGGTCAGGTTAACCAGAAGACACCTCCATTGCAATTATTTATATCAACGTACAGTTGGTTATAATGCCACCGTTTGCTGAGAAAATATGGCATTATAGCTAGGGTATTATATATTAGGGCATGAAATCCGTTCTGGCAAAAACATGGCATTATATCCAGGTTGGCATTATAACCAGGGTGCACTGTATAATTGTGTATATGGTCTCCGGTCCTAATGAAGTGAGTGAGTGAGCCTGGTTTTACTCTGCTTTTAGCAATATTCCTGCAATATCACGGCGGGGGACACCAGAAATTGGATTCACACATTGTACCAATGTGGGGAATCGAACCTGAATCTTCGACGTGAGGAGCGAACGCTTTAACCACTAGACTACCGTACCGCTTTCCTGATGAAGACACACTGCCGACCAACTATGATGAAGCAGTCTTCATGTCTCTTGCCGTCGTGTCTTTCATTATACTCAATAGTGACGACTCGTCTCTGCCCCCATTGACAACCTAAACAGTGTGTTTAAAGCATTATCCACGATACCGCTTTGTTTCATATCCTCAAATCTGTTATCAATATAATATGTATACATGTACGTGTGCTATGAACCTTCGTTCACCTGATGAATGGTCAATGGTTTTCATGAGAGAAATCAGTGTGTAGACTTGTGTTTAATACATTACATTGATTACTTGTGTAAACACCATAAGGACAGTACACATAACACTTCTCACATGATGCCTCGGCACACCACACGGTTTGAGACCAGGGGCAGGCAGGGTGTGTACATGCATTGTATTGGGTATGAGTTTACCTGTATCATTTGGTTATTTCTTGGGGAAAAAAATTCTTCGTAAATATATAAAATTCATGTAATGTCTTACACTATAGTTACATATGTAATCGAAGTTTCTGTGTGGAACTCATATTACTGTTATTACATCCAATATTACGACTGTTTCCCGTGTCATTAATTAATTAGTGACATACAAGTACTGATTCCTCATATTAAACAAACTTGTCCATATACATTCAAATGTACTATCTAAAATTATAGTGTTAATAGACATCCAGAATGTCTCTGCATGTTTCGAGCCGTAGCTCTTTTTCATGTGTATATACATATGTCTTACAAAGGGCACGTATATTAGAATCGTGATAAACTGACATATGGAATTACCTGCAAGAAAGTTTCTCGTAAATATGCGTTTCAGAGACAGGGAAACTGGGGAACTCCATAGTTACGAATGGGCTTGACGACCGTGCATTACGAAAGTGGTCACAAGTACATTATGAAACAAAGTATTTGACCATAGATTATTGTTTGTTAAAAGCAATAATTCAACGCAGCATTGTCAACGACTCTGTCGGTCACTTTGTCTTCACTTATCAGTGTAATTAAACACGATGTATGCATGTTAAATAGTAATAAATCACGGAATGTTACCCACGAAACTGTCCCGGTTTCATCTTTGCAGCAGACATCAACATTATTCTTTCATTGAAATATGTGATGATCTGGCATGCGCTAACTACATATATTTGATGCCTCACTTGCTGTTACGCCTCAATCCCATCAGTATATTGCATCATGAAGGAATGAGGTAATACTCGAGAAGGAAGGCACTAGCTGTACTTTCTGTTAGCCTAATAACTTTAACGACTGTGAAGATTTGCTCTGTCGTGCCTAAGGATGTATAATGAACTGTGCGTGGTGTGAGGCGGGTGTTAGATCCTCATGCCACTCTCCGGTCCACTAGTCGCCCGGGAGCCTCACGAGACCCTTGCTCAGTCCCCACACTCAATATACAGACACAAGTGATGGCTCAATTGGACTCGCGCATGCGCACGTCACGTAGTGTGGTCCATTAAAATGAGACTTAAGTTGAGTAAGTTGTGAAGAAAGACGTGTCCAAGTTGGCAGGCGGTCGCCACGCACGACGGGAGCGATATATTGGCGGACAGAGAAGAGAAATTAATATACACCTCGCCTCATCTCACTGGTCAAGAATGGAACAGATCAGACCAGCAGTCATGACCTTTTTTTCTGGACAGTATCCTGCAGCTAATATTGCTCAAGGGTAAACACACTTGCAAAATTTACTTCCATTAACAATACAATACATTTTTTCTTGTAAATGTAGAACATTAAGGTTAAGCTTGGAAGCAGGTAAATGCGTGTGGTTGTCATGATCCGTGTTCGCATATGGTTCACGTGAAATGAAATGTTGTCTTATATCGAAATTTAAAACAATTTTCAATATCATAATGGTTTTGAGTGTTATCATGTTTATTTCTTGTTATTCTTGTATAATGTTGCTTTTCCAGTTTACACCTAGAGCGTCTGAGGTTCAGCTGCCAGGCACCCCCTGTGTTCACCCCCATGTTCCAGGGCATGATGCCTCCTGCTGCCCACATGAACTCTACACAGTCCATCCAGCCCAGATTTGCCGCACCCACACCTACCTTTCCTGGGGGTGGATTGTGTGTCTCTCAGGAGGAGTTAGACATGGTACTGTATGGTTATGCCAAGGGGAAGACCGGCGACCAGTATCACGGCCATGCTCTTTCGGGTCTTAGGATAGGAGACATCAGTCATGGTAAGTTCTTTGCCAGTAACACGTAAATATTAAAATATTCCACTGTCCTGAAAATGAAAACATATATGTGCTATTGTCACCATAAAAGGTAAATCACTTTAACGCTGAAATAATTTTATAAATTATAAATATATTTAACAACTAAAACGTGGCGAGAGGTTTTAACCATACAACGTTTTAGTCAATAGACACATGTATGACTGCGCAAACTGTTCATAGCGACAATGTCATTAACAAGATTTTTAGATTGAAGCCAAACACCATTATGCGTTGTAATATTCTTTAAGAAAGGATTTAATTATTGTGGAAAGAGTTTTGTCGCCTTTATTATCATGTAAACAAGACCTCTCGTATCATAGGTTTAATTTATCAAACGTAAAGACATGAGACCTGCTAAACAACTGCAGCCATATTGAACACATCAACGACTGTTATTGTATATTTCTGTTATTATTATCTTAATGTTTTATGTTTGTTGTAGGAAATTATTATTTGTTTCATTCTCTCAGAACTGATTACCTAAACTATTGAGTAAAACACAGGTTGTGTGGAATACATCATGTTCACCTGTATGTTGAAAGTTGAAGTCGTGTCGTTATCTCCATCATTATTCATTGGACAAAATTGTTTGTTGAAGTCTCTAGTTTTACAAATATATTTTAAAGGTGGAGATATTAATCGTGCTTCACAGGACAAACAACAATATTGGAAAGCTATTTACATGACGAACACACACGAGATTTCCACTTCTACCTCTGTACTTGGTTCACATGTTAACACAAATGGTATACGTTTTATGTACTATCAGGAGGTATTTCGCGTTTTCAACGAAAGTAAGTGATGATTGTGAAAATATTGAAATCTCCAAGGTGTAAAAAATAAAACGTTTCAATATGGCATAGAAACGTAAAGGATACGTGTGATACTCTGTGTTCAAACACCTTGGTGACTAGCATGGTCATCTACCTCCAGTTGTTGGCAGTGTATAGCCTGTTTTTATCTTGTCTTGTCGTCTATAGTTAAACTGTTGAAATGTTAATTACAAGTTTTAAATCGAAATCTGCGATAATCTAGTTGTCTTACTGTCCTTCGTTGACAGGTTTTTATATTTTACCTTTATTTCATATGAAATTATAACTTGTTTTTAGTCACGATATGGCGGAAATATTGCCGGTGTGACTTAAAATCTCAACTCACTCAGTCACACACTCAATGTGTTCAAAGAAGCTATACAGTGATACTCTATGTTCAAAGAAGCGATAGCTATTCAGTGATACTCTATGTTCAAAGAAGCGGTAGCTATACAGTGATACTCTATGTTCAAAGAAGCGATAGCAGTGATACTCTATGTTCAAAGAAGCGGTAGCTATACAGTGATACTCTATGTTCAAAGAAGCGAGAGCTATACAGTGATACTCTATGTTCAAAGAAGCGGTAGTTATACAGTGATACTCTATGTTCAAAGAAGCGGTAGCTATACAGTGATACTCTATGTTCAAAGAAGCGGTAGCTATACAGTGATACTCTATGTTCAAAGAAGCGGTAGCTATACAGTGATACTCTATGTTCAAAGAAGCGGTAGTTATACAGTGATACTCTATGTTTCAAAGTGATACTCTATGTTCAAAGAAGCGGTAGTTATACAGTGATACTCTATGTTCAAAGAAGCGGTAGCTATACAGTGATACTCTATGTTCAAAGAAGCGGTAGCTATACAGTGATACTCTATGTTCAAAGAAAGATACAGTGGTAGTTATACAGTGATACAGTGATACTCTATGTTCAAAGAAGCGGTAGTTATACAGTGATACTCTATGTTCAAAGAAGCGGTAGTTATACAGTGATACTCTATGTTCAAAGAAGCGTTATAGTTAGAAGCGGTAGTGATACTCTATGTTCAAAGAAGCGGTAGCTATACAGTGATACTCTATGTTCAAAGAAAGCGGTAGTTATTGCCGAGTCGATACTCTCAAAGAAGCGGTTCAGTGATACTCTATGTTCAAAGAAGCGGTAGTTATACAGTGATACTCTATGTTCAAAGAAGCGGTAGTTATACAGTGATACTCTATGTTCAAAGAAGCGGTAGCGGTAGTTATACAGTGATACTCTATGTTCAAAGAAGCGGTAGTTATACAGTGATACTCTATGTTCAAAGAAGCGGTAGCTATACAGTGATACTCTATGTTCAAAGAAGCGGTAGCTATACAGTGATACTCTATGTTCAAAGAAGCGGTAGTTATACAGTGATACTCTATGTTCAAAGAAGTGGTAGTTATACAGTGATACTCTATGTTCAAAGAAGCGGTAGTTATACAGTGATACTCTATGTTCAAAGATACAGTGATACTCTGTTATGTTCAAAGAAGCGTTATAGCTATACAGTGATACTCTATGCTATACAGTGATACTCTATACTCTATGTTCAAAGAAGCGGTAGCTATACAGTGATACTCTATGTTCAAAGAAGCGGTAGTTATACAGTGATACTCTATGTTCAAAGAAGCGGTAGTTATACAGTGATACTCTATGTTCAAAGAAGCGGTAGTTATACAGTGATACTCTATGTTCAAAGAAGCGGTAGCTATACAGTGATACTCTATGTTCAAAGAAGATACTCTATGTAGTTATACAGTGATACTCTATGTTATGTTCATAATGTTCAAAGAAGCGTAGTTATACAGTGATACTCTATGTTCAAAGTAGTTATACAGTGATACTCTATGTAGTTATACAGTGATACTCTATGTTCAAAGAAGCGTTAGAAGCGAGTAGTTATACAGTGATACTCTATGTTCAAAGAAGCGGTAGTTATACAGTGATACTATGTTACTCTATGTTCAAAGAAGCGGTAGTTATACAGTGATACTCTATGTTCAAAGAAGCGGTGATAGCTATATACAGTGATACTCTATGTTCAAAGAAGCGATAGCTATACAGTGATACTCTATGTTCAAAGAAGCGATAGCTATACAGTGATACTCTATGTTCAAAGAAGCGATAGCTATACAGTGATACTCTATGTTCAAAGAAGCGATAGTTATACAGTGATACTCTATGTTCAAAGAAGCGGTAGCTATACAGTGATACTCTATGTTCAAAGAAGCGGTAGTTATACAGTGATACTCTATGTTACAGTGATAAAAGAAGCGTTCAAAGAAGCGGTAGTTATACAGTGATACTCTATGTTCAAAGAAGCGGTAGTTATACAGTGATACTCTATGTTCAAAGAAGCGGTAGTTATACAGTGATACTCTATGTTCAAAGAAGCGATAGTTATACAGTGATACTCTATGTTCAAAGAAGCGATAGATACTATACGGTATAGTGATACTCTTTGTTTACTTTACAAACATGTTTAGTTCAACGGTCATCAAAGTAAGTGTTAATGATATTATTAAGTACAAATTCGGTATAAGCACCACGGAAAAAATAACTTATATGACATCACGCTCGTTTGTAATGTTAACGAAACTATACGCATGGACATATGTAAATGACAAATTTCTGTGGAATAATCTTGGTAGTTTGAGTTGACTGCCGATGAAAGTGAGCGGCGCTCTTCAACCAATCACAACCTGGTGCGTCAACGCCCACCAATCAATAGGATCAAAAAAGCAGTGTTGGCCGCATCTTAAGTGGATGCTTGCATGGGGATGTGACATTGGGACAGGTCATTCACAGCTTAGAATAGCTCTCTATTAAATAAAGATTTAGACTTCATCATGATGATTCGACGAGCCATGATAAAGCTTTGCTTGTTGTGTTGCGTACCCTGTAGGGTAACGCAGCATTATGGTTTCCAGATACACCGGAGTGGATGCAGATTAAATGAACGAAGGTTCAATGGATTATTTGCCTTTGTTGTATCAACAGCAGTGTAACAACACGGTTACTTTCCCCACAACTAACTCTCAATAAGTGGTGGTAGACTGGACTTACAGAATTCGCCAAGTCTAGCATTGTTGGATGCTTTTAGCGCTGGGGTGTCACTGGCGTGTTGTTGAAGGTGCCCGGGGTGTTGGTGTTCCGATACCTGTGACGCCTACCCCAGCTGGCGCGAAGTAAATGTTTGATCACAATCATCCATACAAGGTTTCAAACCCAGGCTCCTCGCACACATCACCTCCCACCTCAGACTACCCAGGCTCCTCGCACACATCACCTCCCACCTCAGACTACCCAGGCTCCTCGCACACATCACCTCCCACCTCAGACTACCCAGGCTCCTCGCACACATCACCTCCCACCTAGACAGACTACCCAGGCTCCTCGCACACATCACCTCCCACCTCAGACTAGTATCAAACCCAGGCTCCTCGCACACATCACCTCCCACCTCAGACTAGTATCAAACCCAGGCTCCTCGCACACATCACCTCCCACCTCAGACTAGTATCAAACCCAGGCTCCTCGCACACATCACCTCCCACCTCAGACTAGTATCAAACCCAGGCTCCTCGCATCATCACCTCCCCACCTCAGACTAGTATCAAACCCAGGCTCCTCGCACACATCACCTCCCACCTCAGACTAGTATCAAACCCAGGCTCCTCGCACACATCACCTCCCACCTCAGACTAGTATCAAACCCAGGCTCCTTGCACACATCAGCTCCCACCTCAGACTAGTATCAAACCCAGGCTCCTCGCACACATCACCTCCCACCTCAGACTAGTATCAAACCCAGGCTCCTCGCACACATCAATTCCACCTCATACTAGTATCAAACGTTGTCTTAGCAAAACCTTTCTCGAATAAAATATAACATAGCACTCTTACCCTTACAAAATATGCAGCTTTCTGAAAATAAATATATAGTCCCTTGAACTGGTGACGAATTACATGGCAATCATGAAAGTATCCCCCATATGTTGCTAATTTATACGAAATGATAAAATGACATCGTAACTCGTTAGTGCATACTCGTGAGGAAAAGTAATTCCAGGTGAGGTGAACTGAACCATCATTAGAACAGGACCAGCCTCCCCCACCCTCTCCCTATTATTACAGACAGACAGACCTTGCTCCATTGCAGGCAGGCTACCATCCACTACAGATGGACGAATCCCCATCTATTACATACATACATGCATTAAAGGCAGATGAATCCCCAACCAATACAGACAGAGGATTCCCCATTCATTACGGACAGACAAATTCCCATCTGTTACAGGCAGATGAATCCAAATCCGTTATAGACAGACGAATCCCTATCCATTACAGGCCGATGAATCCCTATCCATTATAGACAGACGAATCTGCATCCATTACTGACGAATCCCCTTCCAGTGCATACAGAAGAATCCCCTCCATTTTCACATCCGTGACAAATTATGAAATCCCATCCTGTTACAGAAAGACGAATCCTCCCCATTGCAGACAGACGAATCTTCCTCAAGTGTGAAATAAAAATTTGATGCATAAAATTGCTCTTGGGTTCTTTAACCCGGCGTTGTCATGCCCCTTATGTTGAAACCATAACTAAATACACGACGGTTGTTATTGTGACCAGCTCTTCACAACAAACAACAAGCTGCTGGTGGGGGTGAGGACATTTATTCTCGTAGGGCAGTCAATACACAAAAGGGGCGGTGGAGTAGCCGGGTGGTTAAAGCGTTCGCTCGTCACGCTGAAGACCCGGGTTCGATTCCCCACATGGGTACAATGTGTGAAACCCATTTCTGGTATCCCCGCCGTGATATTGCTGGAATATTGCTAAAAGCGGAGTAAAACCATACTCACTCACTTACTCAAAACACAAAAATCACCCTGTAACATTTAACAAATTGTAAATGGACAGCAAAATATGCCATACTAGGAGAATGCTATGTATAATAAATAGGTCTCAGATAATATTTTACAGGTTGCATTCATTAAAATATATTTATACAAATACACACACCACAGTCCAACATTCCAACAATGTACTGAAGCACATGAGAAGTGATATACATTACCCATTCATGTAATGGAGGTTTAATAGCTACCCTTTCGGCACCTGTAAACCTGCTACACTGTTAACGCGGCCACTTATGATGTTGTACACGGGAAGATCTAAAGAAAGATTTTTCAGTTTTTTTAGTTGTCCGCCATTGTTAGAGCAGCAGAACTATCGGACAACATCACTTTGTTTAATGCATATAAGACTGATTTGCAAATCCGCACTTTAGACATTTACTGCCAAAATGATTTTATTCTTTAAACAAATAGTCTTTCCAAAACATTTTGTTCCAAGTGAGAATCAGTGAAATTTGATTATGTAAGATATGTTATATGTTGGATTACACTTTCTTAGTAAAGTAGAGATTCTAGTACTTTTGTGTATTCATAAATTTGGTTATCACGTTTTTTACAAAAAGACTCTTGGCATAGATAAATAAATAAATAAATAAAATAAATTAAATAAATAAATAAATAAATAAATAAATAAATAAATAAATAAATAAATAAATAAATAAATAAATAAATAAATAAATAAATAAATAAATAAATATAATGTCTCCTATATTACTTGTATTGTTCATATATTGCCTGTTGTAATGTTTTTGGAAATCAACGTTTTCCCGTACGATGTGACAGTTCTGTTATGAAACGGTAAAAAAATCAGCAAAGTTAATATTTAAGTTGTGCATTATGTTGGGGTATACTCCCACAACACTTGGCACAACAGCGGCGTCAGCCCATGTCGCCATGCAAGCATTAGATTGCCGACTCAATTATTCTTCAGCCCCCGTTATATAGCTGGAATATTGGTTAACGTTAAACAGACACACAACAAACAAACGTCCAATTACAACGTGCCTGAATGTTTCGTGGAAAATGACGGGTTGGGTTTGATCATGTGTAACGCATTATCTTCCTTCATATCATAATTCGAATTCAAATAATTTAACCTACAGCTGTAGTAATTGTAAATGTCGAAGGAAATACATGGGTTGTGCAGAGCCCCTTGATTGTTAAATGCTGAAAGATTCAATATTGCATTTAATCTTTAAAATGTTTTTGTAGTTTGTACTTCTCAAGTCAGAGATGGCCACAACATGGGATAAGTGTGCCCACTAACGAGATGTTTCTCTCGTGTGGCTTTGTAATATGTCCCAGTACTTACTTGCTACATTACTTTACTTAGTTTTACCACTAACGGCAAATTGTTGCGCAGTTAGCTACATAACGTATTTTGATGACATGTTATGCTGCTTACAGTGAGTCAGTAACAACAACAACAACAACAGCAACAACAGATGCGTAGTGATCGCGATGAAGTATCAACATCTGTGGAAGTCTGTCAAATCAGTCCATGTTTCTGTTCCCTGAGATTATTTCTAATATTTGTATAGTCGTGCTAACTTCTGTATGGCCCATCCTTACAACTGCCTTCCTAGACCATACATGTATGTTCGTTCTCATTAATTCTACAGTCCGTTTTCACTGTTGACAAACTGCAACTCCGCTGTCAGCGAGATTTCTGAAAAAGGAGTCGTTTATTTCACAATCATTTGAACAATAAGACAAGACACATTTTGTCTATCGTCAAACCGTACTGAGACGTTTTGCCACTGACTTGATAATCTTTCGTTTCAGGTTTTATTCACTTGTCGTTTTCATGAAACTGCACCTTTGTCAGTAGAGGCCTAGTCAGCATATTGACAGCTCAACTCTTGGTTTTCGATTTTGAACAGTTCCTCACATATCGATTTCCTTAAGATCGATTTTCAGCCAAATCGTGTCTGAAATCAATCGGATAAGTTATAACAGAACATATGTCTAGAATATTGCCACTAATGACCGCTGCCACGTGCTCTTATATACTACAAGAGTTTCACATTCAGTATTCAACTTAAGCCAATATATAAAATGTGTTTCACTGGTGGGTTCCTTCGTACATATTACCAAAGATTTAGCTATGAAAACCCCCATTAAATACACTCTCGATATAACGACTGAGAGAAACGACTGCAAGATTTGAACGTCCTTTGAGGAAGCCACGATTTGTGTCATTTGTCGCGGGTCTTTGTCACGGTATATTTGTTTTTCTTGATTGTTTTAAAAGGGACTAAAAATGTCCAGGGATTATTCATTTGGTATGTATCAATTTCTTCGTTATATACATATATATATATATACATGTTTATGAAAGATAATCATAAAACATTATCAGAAATGTGATGTTCGACATCGCGAATTGCACATAATATTCATTATATATATTGTAAAATATTCGCTTTAAGCTCGGAGTCTTGATTTTGTTGTGTGAACATGATCTTAATGAGATAACATGAGCAGTGCGTTATTGGGTGCATCTAACACATAGTGTGTTTCTGTGTTGCAGGCATTGACCGGATACTTGGTGGTCAAGTTCAAGTGGGGGTGAATCATGTGGCCAAGACCTCACCAACCATTGTTCTGGATACAAGTTGCCTGGACCTCCCCGAAGGTACATGTAAAACACACGCTATTTCCCAATTAAGTCATAGCCTTATCCATGCCTGGAAAAACTTTTAAAGTTCAAATGTTGCTTTGCTTCCACACAATAAATATCAATGTTTAGTCTAATCCCCACTAAGGGCTTTTCACGCAGATAATGGTAATTAAACAAACAGAAAAAGATTGTGACGTATAGCTGTCCCTTTCTTTGCTATTATGACAAGGCGGATTGTCTGGTTGTACACCTGGTCTGAACAAACGGAGCTGTAGAAGGACGGGAGTTGTAATTGGCGGTGGGGTTGTGACAGCTACCCCTTGCTCTGCTCTTGTCACAGGCCCTCTCACTAACTCTCTCCCTTCCCTTCCCGACTTGGATCTCCATTCAACCCCATTGTCGTCGGCTCTCGTCGTTTATGTTATAACCAGCGCAAAGAAAATAGAGAGGGAAGTCTTTATTCTTCATTTACAGTAAATTTGCACGGACGTGCAGCATTGAGTTGTTACAGTGTGAGAGAGCATAAACAACACATATAATGAGATTCGAGGTGGTCTCTCTGTCTCTCAGGCGGTCCACAGATTATGTCTTTCATTTTATAAACATGGATCTGTTATTGCAATTCTCCTGTAAGGAGAACATGCTACATATGATACATAGTAAATGTCAAATTTTGTATCTTAAATAACTTCCCTTAAGATAATGGTTGACACGTTACTTGCGGCGCATGTCGAGTCCCAGCTCGGGTCACCAGACGGGGTGTCACGCACTGACCAGGACTGACCGGTCCTCAAAACAGAGATGTAGTTCTAGACGACGTTATCAGATAACATGTCGTCTCATTTTTTCTAAAATTCCAGTTAAATACAGTGAAAGGGGATGGGGGATACTTTATGCAAGTCCTTTGTTCATAACGAAGAAATGAGTAAGTAGGGTTCTATTCGAGCAATTTCACTGCTATGGACACCAGGAATGGGGTGCACACATTGTCCGCACATGGGGGTATCAATGACATTAAGCAGTGTGCCTTCGTCTAAATTAAAGACAAGTCAGACAAATGGGTTCGACGGTCATATCCATTAACATAACGATAACTTACCTGATCTCGGTGTAATTTGTGCAAGTAAATAGGTAATAATGTAAAACACTTCAACTGCACAAAACCCTCGTCAGTAATCAACGTTATCATGAATACATTGTGTATTTGTTATTTGAGTTCAGATTACATTGCACGTATCTAAGATGGCAGTAGAAATGACCAGCATTTGTTTTATAGAGCAGTACATTTTAATCATTCATTAATTCAGCAATCTCTATGCATTTTTTTACGAGTCCACAAAAGCTGGATTTGTGTAAGCATGTAGTGCTAGATAGTTTGGGTAACTACAGCACATTGTGACACTCCACGTATAAAGAAAACTGTCTATAATGTCAAGTTGTTAGGACTTGAAGATTGACTGATGAAGACAACTGAGGTGAAGCCAGAGTGTACTGTAACAGCAAGAAGCAGTTGAATTAAGATCGGGAATGTGAGTACGTGTAACAACTTACTCCTCGTAACATGTTTATACATGTATCTACCAGGCACGTTGTGAGTCAACCATCATCGCAATAACTATATTGAGTATCTCGCCCTTAGTAGCGTCACTTGTATGGAGGCAGGAGGCTGTTGAGCAACAGATGTTGGAATTAAATCAGTTCTCTATGTTTGACTTTTGACTTCCTGAGATATCATGCTTCATGGTGAGATGAGCTTCAGTAAACGTATTATAGTCAACTGCCTTGGACGGTTTAACATTCATTTCCTAACATGATTTATAATGCTGCTACTTGTAACTATGATAAGGGCTAATTCCCTTGTTTGTGCTAAACGCAGAGGCTGTTTACAAACCGTTGTTCATTTGATTGTCTTGGCATTTGATTGTTTGAGGCAAATTGATAAATGCTGAAGATGTTGCAATCATTGGAGAATGATTTTGTTCACTGCATAGTATCGCATGTTCATACCAGCCATGTTTGAGTGCAATATATTCAAAGGTTCACTATTTTGCAAGATTCCTGCGTCGCCCCACATATTTTGTGGCCTCTTTTAAATCGTCACATTAGCCGTATGTACCGTGGAGTAAATGTATGTTTTGACGAATGTGGGAGATATTATGCGCTATCAAAATGACGTCATCTTTGAAATTTCCCATCTTACCTATATCGTCCTTCAGCTGGCGCCATAACATCTACTGTCAAACTTCACTGCCGGCCGTCAAGAGTTCCTAAATTGATCATTATCATCAGGCAGCTATTACCAGGAACTAATATCTCAGTTTTGGAAATTGTAAGTTACTGCCGAGTATTTCATGCTTAGTAACAGTATATCATATCAAGTTTTGTCACCCTTTCATCTCCCTTATCTGTAACCTCCGTCACAATGCCTGCGGTTGTAACGGCGTGTAAGAGAGGATCATTTTAGAGCATAGAGACGAAAACAAAGCTATGGCAGCGTAGGGGTTGAGTGTGTTTATCATACTACTATGGTGGTGTATTTCATTAGACTGTAGAGGATGGTAGTCCCCACTGGCGTGTCATTTTAAACAGAGGTTTTCATAGGACTGTATTTTATATATTATGTATTAGATGTAAACACTGTTTTAGCAAGTCTTTGCAAGTTGTACCATTTAGTACCGACCTGACCTTTCATTTGTTTATCCGAATATGAACCCCACCAAACACACTTTGTATCCGCTATCTTTATCCTGCCGAAAAACCTGCCCATTATAATAATAAATGGGTTGTGAATAAAAGGCGAAAAAAATCAGTCTTTCAATGTAGCTTGTGTAATGACCGCAATGTGGGTACCCTGCCACTAGTTAAAGGCCAACAGATCATATAGGTTTTGGCGAGTGTGTTTCTTGACCTTGTCGAGTAATGCAAAATCAGCCATCCCTAACCGGTAACCGTAATCACAGCTTGTTTTATAGTGTACGAAGAACACTATGAAACAAGCTGGGATATAGATGTTCTCTGTTTCTCTTCCCACTGTAAAACTTTGTATGACTTTTCGCACAGAACGATGCAAAGTTTTCTTTGAGCATCCCATAGTATAAATATAGGACGAGTGGAATAGTTTTTTTTACTTCTATATTCTGCTTTAAAAGTTTCGAATCTGAAAAAGGCCTCAATTTAAAACTTGCTGATTCATGTTTTAAACTTACGTAACGTTCAGAGACAAAAATGTCCTATAATATTTCAAATACCTGCAGGGACCCCCTTTTCAAGTTGGTTGGTAAATTATAGGAACGTATAACAGAACTTGCTGCTCCGTGTACTAAAGCAATCGGGTCAGAATTTCTGCGCGAAAATAGCAAAATCAAAAGAGGGAAAGTTGGACGAATCATTATCATTATAATGTTTAACTGAGTTATGGCCCTTGTTTGGTCTGAAAGATATGGTGAACCATGTCGCCAATGAGGACGGGTGTACTCGGATACGGCTATAGATGCTGGTTATGGCCCTCGACCTACCCTTGATACCGCTATAGATGCAGGTTATGGCCCTGGACCTACCCTTGATACCGCTATAGATGCTGATTATGGCCCTGGACCTATCCTTGATACCGCTATAGATGCAGGTTATGGCCCTGGATCTTTCCTTGATACCGCTATAGATGCTGGTTATGGCCCTCGACCTATCCTTGATACCGCTATAGATGCTGGTTATGGCCCTCGACCTATCCTTGATACCGCTATAGATGCTGGTTATGGTTCTGGGCCTACCCTTGATACCGCTATAGATGCTGGTTATGGCCCTGGACCTATCCTTGATACCGCTATAGATGCTGGTTATGGTCCTGGGCCTATCCTTGATACCGCTATAGATGCTGGTTATGGCCCTGGATCTACCCTTAATACCGCTATAGATGCTGGTTATGGCCCTGGACCTACCCTTGATACCGCTATAGATGCAGGTTATGGCCCTGGACCTATCCTTGATACCGCTATAGATGCTGGTTATGGCACTGGACCTATCCTTGATACCGCTATAGATGCAGGTTATGGCCCTGGACCTACCTTTGATACCGCTATAGCTGCAGGTTATGGCCCTAGACCTACCCTTGATACCGCTATAGATGCTGGTTATGACCCTCGACCTACCCTTGATACCGCTATAGATGCTGGTTATGGTTATGGCCCTCGACCTATCCTTGATACCGCTATAGATGCAGGTTATGGCCCTGGACCTACCCTTGATACCGCTATAGATGCTCGTTATGGCCCTCGACCTACCTTTGATACCGCTATAGATGCAGGTTATGGCCCTAGACCTACCCTTGATACCGCTATAGATGCTGGTTATGACCCTCGACCTACCCTTGATACCGCTATAGATGCAGGTTATGGCCCTGGACCTACCCTTGATACCGCTATAGATGCAGGTTATGGCCCTGGACCTACCCTTGATACCGCTATAGATGCAGGTTATGGCCCTGGATCTACCCCTTTGATACCGCTATAGATGCAGGTTATGGCCCTGGACCTATCCTTGATACCTCTATAGATGCTGGTTATGGCCCTTGACCTATCCTTGATACCGCTATAGATGCTGGTTATGGCCCTGGACCTACCCTTGATACCGCTATAGATGCTGGTTATGGCCCTGGATCTACCCTTGATACCGCTATAGATGCTGGTTATGGCCCTGGACCTATCCTTGATACCGCTATAGATGCTGATTATGGCCCTGGACCTATCCTTGATACCGCTATAGATGCAGGTTATGGCCCTGGATCTTTCCTTGATACCGCTATAGATGCTGGTTATGGCCCTCGACCTATCCTTGATACCGCTATAGATGCTGGTTATGGCCCTCGACCTATCCTTGATACCGCTATAGATGCTGGTTATGGTTCTGGGCCTACCCTTGATACCGCTATAGATGCTGGTTATGGCCCTGGACCTATCCTTGATACCGCTATAGATGCTGGTTATGGTCCTGGGCCTATCCTTGATACCGCTATAGATGCT